TTGCTGGGTGTACAGAACACCCCGCGCGAGTGATCGCGGGTTAAAATAAATAGTTTAGATACGAAACACTGTTTGTCCCACTCTCACGTACTGAATGACTATAAGTGCATAGTTTCGTCGCATCTGTGGTCGTTTGCGTAGTAGTTGCGGACGTGGTATTTGCGGACACTCCGGAACGCATCGTGGTTTGAGCGGACACATTTCCCCCCGCCCCCATCTTTGAACAGATAAAAAATGCAGATAAATAAGGAAATAAGTACTTTTAAAAATCACAAATATAATTTAAAACAGTATTTTAAGAAGCAAATCTCTCACTTAGGAAAACGATTTTTTATTTTTTTTTTTGTTTTAATTTTATTTATTTATTTTTATTTATTTATTCATTTTTACCGAAGTTTTCTGTTTTTACACTTGATTATCGAATAACAAGGATAAATACATTTTTTCTAATCAAATTTGACTATTTGTGTTGAATTCTTAAGATATTATAGTGTGAAGGCATTTTAAACATAGCGAAATGTGAGAAAAATAAACACTTTCAGAGAAATATTTAAAAATTAATTTTAAGTAACAGTATAGTGAAGAGTATGAACAAATTTCAGGAATTTTGTGGAAAATTGTATTTGAGAGTCAAATAAATATTAGAAGAAGTGCAATTGCCATTAAATTAATTAATTTCATTAATTTAAGTAAAGATAAATACTAGGAGTAAAATTTATAAAACAGATAAAAGTAAATAAAAAAAATAAATACAAGTAAATAAATAATAATTAAGAAAAACCTTTATTATAAATTTAACTATAGTATTAATTTTTAAGAATTTCTTTGAAAGTTTTTTACATTTCGCTGTGTTTAAAATGCCTTCAAACTTAAAATCTTAACAATTCAATATAAATAATTAAACTGGATTGGAAAAATGTATTTATCCTTGTAATTCGATAATCGAGAGTAAAAACAGGAAACTTCGGTAAAAAAACGTTATCCCAGGTGAAAGAGATTTGCTTCTTAAAATACTGTTTTAAATTATATTTGTAAATTTTAAAAGTATTTTTTTTTCCTTATTTATCTGCACCCTTTATCTTTTCTAAGATGGTGGAAAAAATGTGTCCGCTGAAACCACAATGCGTTTGGGAGTGTCCAAAAATAACACAAAATGTAATGTGTCCGCAAATACCACGCCACCCTGTGGTCACCTCCCGTTTGCGGTGATCGCCGACTGCCACGAACGGACTTGTCAGAACGTGTTTATCAGGGCGCAGTCTACATATTTAAGTTTTTTTAAAAAAAATTTGGCAAATATTAGGTACTTAGCTTACGAGTAAAGGTGTTATGCCCAGCTATGCCGAAATCAATGAAAATTGCCAAATATATAAACAATCTAAAACTGGAAATACCTACCTACTTTGATTCTCAGAGCTCGAAAATAACGATTTATAGGTACTTATAATTATTATTTTAAAGCTAATTTTTAACTAATGAAAACTACAAAATAGATAAATTATAAAATAGGTAATTTATTAAATATATATTTTAATAAAAACACTTTCACGGTAATATCCATCAGTAGCACTTTGTCTCTCAATTGACAATTCTTATTGATTTCAAAAAAAGTAGTTAGGTACCTTATTTGAAAAAAAATATGTATAATATGTATTTTAAAAATGTAATACTTATTATTTACCTACCTATGGTTTATTATTATTATTATTAATATTATTATATACGTACTATTATTATATACGTATTATTATATACGTACATATAAGTTAATTCGCTCCTAACTCTTATACTTGAAACAATAAACTAAACGTCAAAGCCAAAACACTGGTAAAAACGCGAAATTGTCTTGCGTCGAAAGCGAATTAAGACCTACATAGAAATATCCTACGACGGCGTCATTCGAGAGCTTCCGACAGACTTACGACGCGTGTCATGAGGGAGGGGGGGAGATGAACAGCGAATACAAGTGGCTAAGAGATAGAAAAGGTGACTAAATCTCATAAATCGATTCAGAACGATTTTTAAATGTCTTTTTTTTTCTTTTTTTTTTTGATAAAATAAATAATATTTGAGTATGGAACTAAAGTGCTGCAGGTTGCCGACCCCTGCACTAGCGCATTCGGCTGTTAACCAAAACGTTGGTGGTTCGAGCCCACTCGGGGGCGAAAGCTTTTTAATCCAAAGAGGCTGTTTATACCTTGTGAAAATAAAGTACGTATAATACCGAATACCATGTTACAACTAGTATGTCATTGCAACATCGTTTTTTGCAGCTCTTGAATTTAAACCTTAGAAATATAACTTTCTAAATAATAACTTAAGTGGTTGCAAATTTTAAGCTTCTGAAACATTAGAACATCAATAAAATTTTTTCTCTATGTAACGGAGCCTCCATGGCGTAGTCGGCTGTTAACCGAAAAATTGGTGGTTCGAGCCCAATCAGAGGCGAACGATTTTTAATGCGAAGAGGCAGTTTACTTTATGAAAATTCAGTACGTATAATGCACACCGAATACCACATTGCACATAGTATTTCATTGCAACATCATTTTTTGCGTTTCTGGTATTTAAACCTTAGACATAAATTTGGAAATAAAAACTTTTAACCGGGTGCAAATTTTAAGTTTGTGAAAGTTTAAGACATCATGTACGTACGGATGTTAACCGGAAGGTTGGTGGTTCGAGCCAACCAGGAAGCGAAACCATTTTATTGCAAAAAGGCTGTTTACTTTATGAAAATCCAGTACGTAATATACACACCTAATACCAAGTTACACCTAGTATGTCACTGCAACATTATTTTATGCAGTTCTGGTATTTAAACCTTAGACAAAACACACTTTCCAAATAATACAATTTTCAAGGTTACAAATTTTAAGCTCATGGAAGATTATGACATCAATTTTTCTTTTTCACTTTGTAACCGAACCTCCGTGGCGCAATCGGCTGGCGCGTTCGGCTGTTAACCAAAAGGTTGGTGGTTCAAGAACACCCGGGGGCGAAAGCTTTTAAAGCAAAGAGTCTGTTTACTCTTTATGAAAATCCAGTACGTATAATACACACCGAATACCATGTTACACCTAGTAACGTATTTGCAACATCATTATTTGCAGTTCTCGTATTTAAAACTTAGACATAACTTTGCAAATATAAATACTTTTTAGCGTTTACAACTTTTAAGCTCATGAAAGATTATGACATCAATTTTACGTTTTTTACTTGTTACAGAGCATCTGTGGCACAATCGGCTAGCGTATTAGGAATTTAACCGAAATTTGGTGGTTGAAGCCTTCCCGGAGTGGTGAATGCTCTTTAATACAAAGAGGCAGTTTACTTTATGAAAATTCACTACGTATAATGCACACCGAATACCATGTTACACCTAGTTTTTCCTTGCAACATTAATTTTGCAAATCTGGTGCTTAAACCTTAGTTATAACTTTGCAAATAAAAACTTTTTCGCGTTTAAAAATTTTAAGCGCATGAAAGATTATGACATCAAATTTCTTTTTCTCCTTAGTGTCTCCATGGTGCAATCGGCTGACGCGTTCGGCTGTAATCGAAAGGTTGGTTGTTCAAGCCCTCGCGGAAGAGAACCCTTATTAATGCAAATAGGCTGTTTACCTTATGAAAATCCAGAACGTATAATACAAACAGGAAAACTTGTTACACCTTGTATGTCATTGCAACATCACGTTTTGCAGTTCTGGTATTTAAACCTTAGACATAACTTTGCAAATAATACAATCTTCGCGGCTTCTTATTTTAAGCTCATGAAAGATTATGAGATCAATTTTAATTTTTCTTGGTTCGATCGAGCTTCCGTGATACAATCGGCTAGCGTGTTCAGCTATTAACCAACAGGTTGTTGGTTTGAGCCCACTCATGGAGCGAAAGATTTTTAATGCAAAGCGGCTGTTCACCTTATGAAAATCAAGAACGTATTATACACAGTGGATAAAATGTTACACCTTGTATGTCATTGCAACATCCTTTTTTTCTGTTCTGGTATGTTAACCTTAGACATAAATTTGCAAATAATACAATTTTCGCGGCTTGAAATTCAAGCTCATGAAAGATTGTGATTTTTCTCTTTGTAACCGAGCCTCCGAGGCGCAATCAGCTAAAGCGTTCGGCTGTAACCAAAAGGTTCGTTGTTCGAGCCCTCTCGGTTGCGAACCCTTTTTAATGCAAAGAGGCTGTTTAATTTATGAAAATACAGTACATATAATACACACCGGAAACCAAGTTACACCCTGTATGCCATTGTGACATCATTCTTTTGCAGTTTTGTATTTAAAAACCTTAAACATAACTTTGCAAAAAATAATTTTTCCCTGTTCCAAATTTTAAGCTCATGAAAGATTATGACATCAATTTTTCTTCTTTTATTTGTAACAGAGCCTCCGTGGCTAATAGGATTAGCGCGTTCGACTGTTTATTAAGAGGTTAGTGGTTCGAGCCCATCCGGGGCGAAAGCTTTTAATGAAAAGAGGTAATTCACACACAACAACACACTTTACAAAAATTCAGTACGTATAATGAACACCGACCACCAGTTAAATCTAGTATTTCTTTGCAACATCATTTTTTGCAGTTTTGGTACTTAAACTTTAGATATAATTTAGCAAATATTTTTTAAGCAATTGCAAATTTTAAGCTTGTGAAAAATTATGACATCAATTTTTTTTTTATCTGTGACCGAGCCTCCGTGGCGTAATAGGTTAGCGCGTTCGGCTGTTAACCGAAAGGATGTGGTTCGAGTTCACCCGGGGGCGAACCCTTTTTTATGCAAAGTGGCTGTTTACTTTATGAAAATCCAGCACGTTTAATACACACTGAATACCATGTTCCACCTAGTATGTCATTGCAGTATCATTTTTTACAGTTTTGGTATTTAAGCCTTAGACATAACTTTGCAAATAATAACTTTTTCCCTGTTCCAAATTTTAAGCTCATGAAAGATTATGACATCAATTTTTTTTTTTCTTTCTAACAGAGCCTCTTTGGCGCAATAGGCTAGCGCGTTTGGCTTTTAACCGAATGGTTGGTGGTTTGAGCCCACCCAGGGGCGAAAGCTTTTTAATGTAAAGACGTAATTCACACTTTACAAAAATTCAGGTTAAAATTCTAGGGAGCCCACACCTTTGGCGACAAAATGAAAAAAGCGCCAAGCCAGGACGAGATGGCGCTAAGCGAAACTGACAATGGCGTCAAGTGAATACAGAGAGGTAAAGTGGATGCGTAAAGAAAATATATGTAAACAATACAGAAATTAATCATTTAAGATAAAAAAAATATAAAAACAGCACTTACTTTATACTGCTGATCTTTTTCGTGTGGAGGGTACACCATAACAAAAGATTTTAAAAAAATCTTGCAGGTCTCATCACTAAGTGAATAATCGTGTGAGCGCCGCCATTTTTATTCTGCGAGGTAAAGGTCGAACATACCTTCAACGTAGCTGGTGCAATTTCAAAGAAAGCGTTTTATTGTCGACCATGTAACATCATGCCGTTCGTTACATTTACGACATTCATAACTCTAAGCAATCACTTCTTCCTTCAAACACTATTCAATCAATTCTTTCAAACCTTTCGCATTCAATAAAGTAAAAAATTCTAAGATATATTCCTTCACACATGCAACCGTATTCCTACCCGGTTCCCCAAAACAAAATGAAATTCGAAATGCACGCCGACAAAATACGAAATTTCCAGAAATACTTAGGTTTACAATATCTAGTGTATCAAAGTGAGGTTACCAAGATGGCACAATTATCGCCAACCCAAAAGAATTCGCGCTAATGCTGTGGGCTCTCCTAGGACTGAACCAAATTCAAAAGGTATAATGCATACCGTTACACCTAGTATTTCTTTGCAACATCATTTTTTGCAGTTTTGGTACTCTTAAAACTTAGACATAACTTTGCAAATAATAATTTTTAAGCAGTTGCAAATTTTAAGCTTGTGAAAGATTATGACATCAATGTTTCTCTTTTACTCTGTAACGGAGCCTACGTGGCTATATCGGCTGGCGCATTCGGCTGTTAACCGAAAGGTTGGTGGTTCGAGCCCACCCGGGGGCGAAAGCTTTTACCGAAAAGATGCTTTTATATACTTTACGATAATCCAGTACGTATAATACACACCGAATACCATGTTACACCTAGTATGTCATTGCATTATCATTTTTTACTGTTCTGGTATTTAAACCTTAGACATAACTTTGCAAAAAAAAAACTTTTTTTCCCTGTTACAAATTTTAACCTCTTCAAAGATTGTGACATCAATTTTTTTTTTTTTCTCTGTAACAGAGCCTCTGTGGCGCAATCAGCTAGCGCGTTCGGCTGTTAACCGAAGGGTTGGTGGTTCGAGCACACCCGGGGGCGAAAGCGTTTTAATTAAAAGAGGCTGTTTATATATACATTATGATATTCCAGTACGTATAATACACACCGAATACTATGTTACACCTAGTATTTATTTGCAACATCGTTTTTCGCAGTTCTGGTATATAAACCTAAGATATAACTTTGCAAATAATACTTTTTCGCGGTTAAAAATTTTTTAAGCTCATGAAAGATTATGACATCAATTTTACATTTTTTTTCTCTGTAACAAAGTCTCCGTTGCGCAATCGACTAGCGCGTTCAGTTGTTAACCGAAAGGTTGGTTGTTCGAGCCCACCCGCGGGCGAAATCCGTTTTTATGCAGAGTGGCTGTATACTTTATGAAAATCCAGCACGTATAATACAAACTGAATACCATGTTACACATAGTATGTCATTCCATTATCATTTTTTACTGTTCTATTATTTAAATCTTAGACATCACTTTGCAAATGATAACTTTTTCCCTGTTACAAATTTTAAGCTCTTTAAAGATCTTGACATCAAATTTTCTTTTTTTCTCTGTTACAGATCCTCTGTGGCGCAATCGGCTGGCGCGTTCGGCTGTTAATCGAAAGGTTGGTGGTTTGAGCATACCCGGGTGCGATAGCTTTTCAATGAAATGAGGCTGTTTACTTTATGAAAATCCAGTACGTATAATACACGTCAAATACCATGTTACACATAGTATGTCATTGCATTATCATTTTTTACAGTTCTTGTCTTTAAACCTTAGACATAACTTTGCAAAAAAATAACTTTTTCCCTGTTACAAATTTTAAGCTCTTCAAAGATTGTGACATCAATTTTTCTTTTTATCTCAGTTACAGAGCCTCCGTGGCGCAATCGGCTAGCGCGTTCGGCTGTTAACCGAAAGGTTGGTGGTTCGAGCCCACCCGGGGGCGAAAGCTTTTTAATGAAAAGAGGCTATTTATATATATATATATACTTTGTGAAAGTCCAGCACGTATAATACAAACTCGAATACCATGTTACACATAGTATGTCATTGCATTATCATTTTTTACAGTTCTTGTCTTTAAACCTTAGACATAACTTTGCAAAAAATAACTTTTTCCCTGTTACAAATTTTAAGCTTTTCAAAGATTTTGACATCAATTTTTCTTTTTTTCTCTGTTACTGAGACTCCGTGGCGCAATCGGCTAGATCGTTCGGCTGTTAACCGAAAGGTTGGTAGTTCGAGCCCACCCGGGTTCGATAGCTTTTTAATGAAAAGAGACTGTTTACTTTATGAAAATCCCGTACGTATAATACACACCGAATACCATGTTACACCTAGTAAGTCGTTGCATTATAATTTTTTACTATTCTGGGATTTAAACCTTAGACATGACTTTGCAAAAAATAACTTTTCCCTATTAATAATTTTTAACTCTTCAAAGATTGTGACATCAATTTTTTTTCTCTCTAACAGAGCCTCCGTGGTGCAATCGGCTAGCGCGTTCGGCTGTTAACCGAAAGGTTGTTGGTTCGAGCGCACCCGGGGGCGCAAACTTTTTAATGAAAGGAAGCTGTTTATATATATATATATATATATATATATATATATATATATACTATATGTGAAAATCCAGTACGTATAATACACACCGAATACCATGTTACACCTAGTATGTCGTTGCATTATCATGGTAAAATCCTAGGAGAGCCCACACCCTTGGCGACAAAACGAAAAAAGCGCCAAGCCAGAACGAGATGGCGCCAAGCGAAACCGACAATGGCGGCAAGTGAATACAGAGAGATAAGGTGGATACATAATGAAAATATATGTAAACAATACAGAAATTAAGCATTTAAGATAAAAAATAATATATAAATACAGCACTTACTTTCTTACTGCTGATCTTTTCCGACTGGAGGGTACAGCATAACGACAGATTTTTAAAAAGTCTTGAAGGTCTCATCACACACTAAGTGAATGATCGTGTGAGCGCCGCCATTTTTATTCTGCGAGGTAATGGCCGAACATACTTTCGGCGTGGCTGGTGCAATTTCGAAGAAAGCGTTTTATTGTCGACCCTGTTACATCATGCCGATCGTTACATTTAGGACATTCATAACTCTAAGCAACAAATCCTTCCTTCATGGACTATTCAATCAATTCTTTCTAACCTTTCGCATTAAACAAAGTAAAAAATTCTAAGATATATTCCTTCGAACAATCAACAATTTCAGCCCGGTTCCCCAAAACAAAATGAAATTCGAAATACCCGCCGACAAAATACGAAATTTCCAGAAATAGGTTTACTATATCTAGTGTATCAAAGTAGGGTTACTAAGATGGCACAATTATCGCCAACCCCAAATAATTCGCTCCGAGGGTGTGGGCTCTCCTAGGACTGAACCCATTATCATTTTTTACTGTACTGGTATTTAAACCTTAGACATAATTTGTAATAAATAACTTTTTCCCTTTAACAAATTTTAAGCTCTTCAAAGATTTTGACCTCATTTTTTCTTTTTTTCTATCTAACAGAGAATTCGTGGCGCAATCGGCTATCGCGTTCGCCGGTTAACCGAAAGTTTGGTGGTTCGAGCTTATCCGGGGGCGCAAGCTTCTTAATGAATGGAGGCTGTTTATATACTTTATGATAATCCAGTAAGTATAATACAAAACGAATAATATGTTACACCTAGTATTTAATTCAACATTGTTTTTTGCAGTTCTGGTATATAAACCTTAGACATATCTTTAAAAAAATAACTTTTTTTTTTACCCTGTTAAAAATTTTTAACTCATCAAAGATTGTGAGATCAATTTTTTTTCTCTCTAACAGAGCCTCCGTATCAAGATCGGCTAGCGCGTTCGGCTGTTAACCGAAAGGTTGTTGGTTCGAGCCCAACCGGGGGCGAAAGCTTTTTAATGAAAAGAGGCTGTTTATATACTTTATGAAAATCCAGTACGTATAATACACACCGAATACCATGTTACACCTAGTATGTCGTTGCATTATCATTTTTTACTGTTCTGGTATTTAAACCTTAGACATAACTTTGCAAAAATAACTTTTCCCTGTTACGAATTTTAAGCTTTTCAAAGATTGTGACATCAATTTTTCTTTTTTTCTATCTAACAGAACCTCCGTGGCGCAATCGGCTAGCACGTTCGGCTGTTAACCGAAAGGTTGGTTGGTTTCGAGCCCACCCTGGGGGAAAAGCTTTTTAAAGAAAAGAGGCTGTTTATATATATTTACTATATGAAAGTCCAGTATGTATAATAAACACCGAATACCATGTTACACCTAGTATGTCGTTGCATTATCATTTTCTACTGTACTGGTATTTAAACCTTTGACATAACTTTGTAAAAAATAACTTTTTCCCTCTTACAAATTTTAAGCTCTTCAAAGATTTTGACCTCATTTTTTCTTTTTTTCCATCTAACAAAGAATCCGTGGCGCAATCGGCTAGCGCGTTCGGCTGTTAACCGTAAAGTTATTGGTTCAATCCCGCTCGCGTGCGATGACTTCTTAATGAGAAGAGGCTGTTTACTTTATGAAAATCCATTACGTATCATACACACCGAATACCATGTTGCAACTAGTATGTCATTGCATTATCTTTCTTTACTGTTCTGGTATTTAAACCTTAGACATAACTTTGCAAATAATAACTTTTTCCGTTACAAATTTTAAGCTCTTCAAAGATTGAGACGTCAATTT